GGGGTTTCAGTGTTTAGTACATGGTGCCGACTGGGCGTTAAATTAGATTAGATTAGATTAGATTAGATTAGATTCCTTTATTGTCATTGTGTACACGGAGCGTACACAACGAGATTCAGATGCGCTGATGGAAACGGTCATACAAAATATACACATGATCAAATAAACAGTAAATATACAATAAAAATACAAACCCATCTCCATCTGGACAAACCTATATGTACATTTGAAGTCCCTCGTGTTTGGATGACTCATTATAATTAACACACATAAACAAGTTTTTATTGTTTTATCCATCTACACACATCAGCAATGCACATACGATCTCTACATCTGACAGGGTTCACTCTCTCTCTTATTTTAACCGTTTTGAGCTGAAGACTTCTGATCTTGTTTCCATTACTGTCCACTGGGACGTGGTGTTGTCTCCGTACTTTAGCCCCCTGACAGGATGGAAGCGCCCCCTGCAAGTTGTGTTTCACTCTGAGTATGCACAGGTAGGTGGACAGGCTGCAGGTGCTCCTAAAATGTTCAGACACTCTGTTCAAAGTCAAGATAACGTAGGTGGAGTTGTATGAATAACAGAGCAGGACTGGGTCACGCTGCCAGACCGGCGCTGCCTGACTGTTGTCGGGCCGGCTGACCAATCACAGCAGACCGGGCTTTTCAGGAAGGTGACCTTAAAGGGACCGGAGCTGACAGGAAGCATGTTAGACAGACGGTGGAGGAGCTGCAGCAACGGACAGCATCAGAAAGAATAATGTGTTAAAGCACCTAAAATATGAAGGTAGAGCCCCAAAATACAACCGTAAACCTGCTCATGAGCATCATATGGGCTTTTAAAAACACTTGTGTTGAGTTGTTTTGGTCTTCTTTGAGGTGTTTCATGTCATAAATGTGAAGGTATCAGGACCGGTTCAGTCAGCGTGTTCCATGGAGGGACAGTGGTTTGGTCAGATTAGCTCAAAGTGTTTCTGGCTTTAAAACAGGCCTTCCTCTGTCAGTGCACCAGCTTTTAAC